AAATATCACATGTTTATCTGGTTTCTATCGATTGAATTGTGTCTCATTCTGTTTTACAAATATTGATTTAGAGTAATACAATTTTTTCAGTTACGTTAATATAAGTACTTCTTTTCTTTTTATTGATCTATCGGAAAAAAAAAAATCCTTAAAAAATCTTATATTTAAATATGTGAAAGAAATATTAAAATTAAAAATGAATTAAAAAAAAATATATACAATTTTTTTCTTGTGTTTAGTTATTATTATTATTATTATTATTATTATTATTATTGAATAATGCTTTCAAAAAAACGTAATCAACAGTCATCATCTATTACTAAACGTTCGTCATTAAAACATACAGTTAATAATGATTCATCCATTACATTAACCAAAGACCAATCATCAATAGTAACAATCCCAATATCATCAACAACAAATTCAAATTTTGTTTTTCCATCTACAACAAATACATCTATACAAGTTACAACTCAAAGTGCGAAATCAAAGAAAAAACAAGAACAAATGCGTAATTTAACTTATTTAAAATTTATTTCATTTTTTTTTAATAATCTATTTCAGTTATAGTCTATAATAAGAAAAATAAATAAAATATGAAATGTTACATAATCTTTGTTTTTTTTTACTTTGTTAAGAATCTTCAAATTCACATACAACATCAAATAATGGCAATGGTAGTATACGTCGACGTTTTCTTAATTTTCTTCGTTTTACTGCTAGTCGTCCATCAACAACAGCAAATCGTTTTTCACATCAACATAATACATCTACAACAAATAATTCTTGTCAAACTTCAAAACAACAAAATTATATTTTAACATCATCATCCTCACCATCAGTACACGATAAAAGTTCTATAATACCAATAAAAGATGAATTTATTGAATCAATTGTTGCATCAGCCAATGAACATGTTATTAATATACTTCCATCGCAAACAACAACAACAACCATTTCAAATGATCATTTACTTGAAACTTGTCTATTATGTTATCATGATTATTCATCTGAACAATTTGAACATTTAACATTATGTTCACATTCATATTGTCGAACGTGTTTAAAAAGTTATTTAAAATTAGAAATAAGTGAAGGCCGTATCACACTTAATTGTCCACATAATGATTGTCCAGAACGTATGCATCCATGTGATATAACACGAATATTAGAAAATCATCCTGATCTTATTTCAAAATATGAACAATTTATGGTTCGACGTGTTTTACAATCTATATCTGATACACGTTGGTGTCCAGCACCTGATTGTGGATTTGCTGTTATAGCTTCAGGTTATGCATCATGTCCAGAAATTCAATGTTTAAGACCGGGATGTAATACATCATTTTGTTATCATTGTAAAGCAACATGGCATCCAAATAAAGCATGTGAAGATGCAGCACGTGAAAAAACATCAACTAAGCTTCGTTCAGGTTCATTTATTAGTCTTGCTTCTGCTCAACAAAGTATGTTTTTAATTATTTATAAAATAAAAGAAAATGACCATTATTCTGTTTTCTAGAAGATGAAATAAAACAATGTCCGAGATGTCAAGCATCGATACTTAAAATGGACGATGGTTCTTGTGTACGTTTTCATAAGATTCGTGTTTTCTGAAATTCATATCATTTTTGTTTTAGAATCATATGACATGTCCTATATGTGAAGCTGAATTTTGTTGGTTATGTGGTCGAGAAATATCTGATTTACATTATCTTAGGTTAATATAATTATTGTATTTTGTTTTTTAAATTTCGTCTATATTATTTTTTTAGTCCATCGGGTTGTACTTTTTGGGGTAAAAAACAATGGAGTAGAAAAAAAGTTATTCTTTGGCAAGTAGCTACATTAATTGGTGCACCAGTTATAATTGCATTAATAGCTGGTGTTGCCATACCAGGTGTCGTTGTAGGTGTACCTATATGGGCTGGCAGAAGAATATTTAAAAAATTTAATAATGCTCGAAATAGTAAAACAAAACGAAATCTTCTTGTAGCATTAGGTGTTACAGGAAGTATAGTAGCTTCACCAATAATAGCTACTCTTGCTGTTGGAATTGGAGTTCCTATTCTTTTGGCTTATGTTTATGGAGTAAGAAGATTTTCTTTTTTTCTATTTTAAATTTAACAAAAAAAACTCAACTAAACTGTTTTAGGTTATTCCAATATCATTATGTCGCACAGGTGGTTGTGGTGTTGGAACACGAAATAATATTTTAGATGGTGATAATTCTAATATTGATAATTTTTTACCATTTTCTTTACGTGAAGTTGCTATTGCAAGAGCAATTCTTAATGGTATCAATCAAATGAAAATTTATTTAAAATGTATGTGTGTGTTTTTTTTTCTAGATACACAAAGTGTAATGACACATCCAACAATTGGTGGTGATTCAACAAGTTTATCAAATAGTGTTGCACATCTTGTTGATGATCGTAGTAATGAAAGTACAAAAGCATTACCTGGTACAGGTGCAATATCACTTTGTGAAAGTTTACCACCGTCAAATCGGTAGGATTTTATTCATCAAAAATGAAGACTTTTCTTTTTTATGTATTTTTCAATTTATTTAGTCTTGAAGTTCAAGCTGAAGTTAGTGATTGTAAAAGTTTTGATATTGAAAGTATTACAATTAGTGAAAAATCTTCTAAAACAATGGATAGTCTTAAAGCATTAGCTGGTTCAATTAAGTAAGTTTGTAATTCTGCAATAATCATTTACTAATAAAACTAATATTTGCATAAATATTGATTATGGATGATTTAGATCATCTGAATAGATTATCATTAAATTTTAGTATAGAATAGATATAATATTTTACTTTGTTTTTATATATTATAGAGATGCATGTACAGTGCCTGGTGTTGAATGTAATAATGATAATATTTATAATATAAATGGAGATCCTACTGGTCGTAAATCAAGTCTATTAAGTAGTGCATCTGATTATGCTCGATCGATTAATATAGATCAACAACAACAACAACAGCAACAATCACATCATTCAAATGTTATTCGTGCCGGTTCACCATATAGTGATAAAACAGTTTCCTTCTTTGATGAACGTGTTAAAGCAAAGTCTAAGTAAGAATATTAGAATAAATAAATAAAAAAGAACTCGATTTCTTTTGTGTTTTTAGATCACAAATAGATCGTTATTGAATTCGTGCATGAATTTTATTTTTATTTTTTCAACAGAGAGATAATTGAAACTCTTCATAGTTTATTAACGCAGAAGAAAAAAAACTAACAATAAAAACTTTTTTTTTTGTCTCATCTATGTAGATATTATTCTGTATATGTCTGTCGGTTGTTTTCAGTGAATTCTTTCTGTTTTCTTTTGTCTACTTTCTTGTTCGTTCGTTTAGGCTTTTTTTCTTTGTATTTAAAAAAAATGAAGAAACTTAGTCCTTTTTCTGGTTTTTCATGTTGTCGTTTTTTTTTTCTCTTTATACTCTTTGATTATAATTAATTTATTTTAAGAGTGCTCTATATTTATAAAAGATGAGAAGTTAAAACATTCTTGATGTTTTTTTTTTCTGTTTGTTTATGCATTTATGTAATACAAGTTTTAAAAAAAAAAGAAGGAAATATTGAACAAACAAAAGAACGTTTTTTTCTAAATCGCTGAAATTGATATTTTTAACTAATGGATTAGTAAAAACTTAATTTAGATTAATAGATCGAATCTAAGAGTTTTTTCTTAACGAAACCAAAGGATCATTTTTCAAAAAATAAGTACATCTAATATAGATTTTTATCGATTAGAAGTCTCAACTTTCAGGATACATAAATCAAAAACTATGAAGAAATCAATAAAAGACATCCACACTTTTGAATAATTGTTCTATACTCAAAAGTAAATAAAACTACTTTGATCGAATAATAGAAGTAATTTTTCAAGGATACAAAAATATACCTTAAGGGCTTTTTTTTTCATAAATATGATCGAAAGATAGATAGATGTTATTGTATGTAATTATATTCTATATTGAAAAAAATTAACATGATATAGAACTTAATGAGTGTTTCGTGCATAAGAGAAAACTAAAAAAAAAGGGTTTCAAGTATTACAATAAATCTGAAACCCTTCATAAGACTTATCGAGAATATAGGACAATGTTTTGAGTATCTGATACTTATGCATGAGCTCGTTAAAAAGGATTTCCGATTTATTACAATTCTTGAAGGTTTCGTTTTTTTCAGTGCAAATGACTGACAACATTGTTAGTAGATTCTTCTTCAATTACACAATTGATTCATGGTTATTTTGATATTAAATATTTTTTAAATTTATTTTATCAATGAATAAAACATTCTTCTATCACATGTGTTTTAGACTGAAAACATTTTGCTTCTGTTATTCATTAGAAATGTCATTTGAGTGTTGTTGATAGAATGATAAGACTAGGTCAATGTCTCTAACAAGATTATGATATAATTATGTTTCTTTTTTTAGTTTCGATAATATATCATCTGCTTGACAATTTTATATAGATGTCTTTAGTAGTAAATGAATCTACTAATAATTGCATGAAAGAAAAATATTTTTTTAATCAATGTAATAGTATAATAATAAAGTTCTTTTTGTCACGATGTATACGATATACCTTGAACATATGCTTTGTTCGGTTGTGTGAAGTGAGCACAACATGTAAGCATAAAAAATGATGCTCACTTCAGCTGGGGCTAACAAGCCAATCAAATAACGAATCCATTTTTTACCGTCACCCAATCATCTTCTTGCATATAATAGATGGACTGGATCAGCCATCGTAATCTATAAAATGAATTCACTTATTATGTGAACCTTTTGTGAATTTTACTTCCCCATGATAAAATATTAATTGATTGCAAAAAAAAATTGCATTGAAACAGTGTTTTTTATTACTTCATCATGTTTTAAATAAATTTTTAAAGCAGATGAATTTAATTTTTTCTTTAATTTAAAAAATTATAAAAAACTTTTTGAATTTATTAGATAGTTAAAAAGAAAAATTATGAAGCAATTGAATATTCGAACAACTAATGGATCTATTCATAATGGTCATCTTGAACATCGTTATAGACAAATCCAAAATCGGGCAGCTGCGGCTATTGATGCATTCAATGAGGATGGAGAATCTTTAGAGATAGTTGCTCATCTACATCGTATTTCAATCGATCAAATACAAAAAGACTTGTATGGTGAACCATCTGAAATAAAAAAAAGATTTGGTATTCAATCAACTGTTAAGTTAGAGGACACTCTTAAAACATGTTTAAAAGAAATAAATAAAGGAGTAAATAAAGCTCTAGTAGCTGTTGCATATCATGTACCATATAGTCTTATTTGTACTATTGAAAATAACAATAACATAAGAGAAGCTGCAACAAAATTTTTAATTGATATAAGAAAAAAACTAAATTGTATAAATCTAGCAACTATTGACAAAACGATTGATATTAACGATTCTTTGAAAGTAAGCTGGGACAATGGAAAAATGCTTGATATAGTTCTATTTATTTCCATAGAAGTGCACAAAATCAAAAATTTTAAATGAAACATCATTACAAGCTATTGATGCCCAAGAGATTACCATCAATTCAACTATAACTTATGAACAATGTAAATAAATCCTAAGGTTTTTCGTTGAATAATTTTTTTCTTTAGCACCGTATTCAACACCAAAACATATCGTTAACAATTTTTCACCATACACGTTTTTGACGAAGAAATGGACATCCATAAAGATTACTGGTAGTGGTCTATCTAACCATGATCAATATGGAAAATCAAAAAATCTTTGTTACATTAATTCAATCATTCAATGTTTAGCAAATACGGCACCTTTTGTTGAGTGGCTTTTACAGAACTATGCTTTTGATAAATGTACGTAATTTCAGTTTTTGTCCGTCATACATATATATATATATATATGCACGTAGCAAACGAATAAAATCTTTCTATGAGATCTTGTGAGATTTTTTCTTTGGAATAATTTTCACATAATGAATGAGTGATACTGAATTACAAGTCTATAATATAGTTGGGCTACTTCCGATGATACACATACACATAAAAATAATTCTTCGTTCTGTATCTTGTGACAAGGAATGGTATTAAAAATGTTTATTTATAAAACAATACAATTGTAAATTCTTCTTGATTCACAATCGCTCTTCGTAAAAGCCAGTGTGATTTTTCATTTTAAAATATCATCTAAAAGCGATATTGATTATGTAGTTCATTTTAAGCGTATGAACATAGAATAATATTATGATGAAAAGACATTCAGGTATGTTTGATGGTTTATGCTCATTTTTGCCTCTGATTACGCATAAACATATATTTGTTAAATCCATATAATCTTCGTTGTATGCGATTTATCTTAACATTTATACTTCGTTCTTAATGACAATCATGTGGTGATCAAATAGGTCAACAATAATCTAATTGAAGTGAATTGCTTTACCATCCAGAACGAGAAAAAAAAGAGAAGTTACAACTAATTAACATACAACTAGAGCCTAATGGATACAAAACAACGTAATTGATTTTATCTTGTAACATGCTTTAAAGATTTCTTTCTCTATCAATGTTTTTTTCGCTAGTCGTGTGACCATGTAGAATTTCATCAGAAATTACATCTTTTTTATGGTATTCTCTATTACATTGTATTTTTTGAAACTTTAATTAAAATGAAAATAAAAATATTTAGCAGTAAAGTTGCTTTTTTAACAGTAAAAGAAGGATATTTTTCGATGACATGTATTGTATGTATTCTTAACTAATCGATGAATAATAATACTCAAGCTCTATAATATGATCTAACTTATATAATGTCTCGTATTAAATTAGTCTTATTTAGACTTATCATTTTTAGTCAACAGTATGGATAAGAAGTGATAATTTTTTTGATGAGTGTTTTATGGAAAGAATCTATTTTTTATTTCATTGCAACATAGTAGATATATGCGCTACTCACTACTAGACGACGATGTGCTTTGATATGTTTCATTTCTTTGATAGAGCTTAATTGACTCTTTTGAAGAAACAACTTATTGCAAAGCAATTGAGGAATTATTAGTGTCGTGTTCAATTTTCGAGTATTATAATAAAAAAAAAATGAAGTGGAATAGTCGACGAGAAGTAAGCTCATTTTATTATCACATATAAGCTTTTCTATTCAAGAATATTGCTCATCGAAACTTTTACTGAAAACAAAGCTTTTTAAATGTTTTTTTTCGTTTTGATTCTGAAGTGATTGTACTGATAGTTTCAGTTCGCACTTGATTAATGTGTAAATATAATACTCTGAATCACTATTATCTTGAATTTTGTTTTTATTTCTAGGTCAGCTAACGGCTATGAACAAATTTTGTTCTTTTTGCTCGTTACATGACATTATATGTGACATTTTTCGTGAGTCTTGCAATAAATATAATTCATTAGATTTTTCTCATGCAACTACTGAACATTTTGCTCAACAAATCGAACAATTTTCTTCAAGTTTTACATTTGGTGAGCAAGGAGATCCATCAAAATTTTTAGTTTTTCTGTTAGATGGTCTTGCTTCATGTACAAAAATTAATGAAGCTCTTGCTCATATGAATTCATTTATTCAACCAATTCAACAAATATTTGGTTTTTACATAACCTCTATCATTGAATGCAAAATTTGTTTAAATCGATCAGGTGTTGATACTTGGGAGAGTATTTTATCTCTACCCATCTCTTCTCATTCAAATCTTAGTGAAGTTCTTGCAGCATATTTCAGCATTGAAGAATTACAAGAAGGTGATTTATATGAATGTTCTAATTGTGGAAAGAGAGTACCATCTAAAAAGACGTTAAAGATTACGAAAGAATCACCTGTAATATTTTTTAATTTCAAACGATTTGATCATAATGTAGAACTTAACTCAACTAGTAAAATCAATATGGTTATAGATTATCCGGAAACAATTACACTTGATGATCATTTTGATGAACCTACTCGACAATTAAACAAAGAGAATGAAGATTATAGTTTTATCTATACATTGAATAGTGTAATTGTACATCTAGGTGAAGATGTGACAAATGGTCATATTTTTGCTTATGTACGTGCCCCTGATGGATATTGGTATAAAGCAGATGATGAACTAGTGACACCGGTTCATTTGGATGCAGTACTTAACAATAAAGATGCTTATATACTATGTTATGTTAAAATGTCACGGGATTCAATAAATATTTCGGATGATGAGCCGTTGTCATCTCCAATACATTCATCTTCAATTTTAATATCATCAACACCAACAATTTCAAATAAATATTTTGATAAACATCATTTTATTCATGAAGATGTGTGTATTATATTTTTTTTATTAATATTTATAGTACTTGTAATATTTTATACAGGAAATCGAGGTATTGGAAGAAGAATCCATTTCTTTGAATAAATCAATGGATGTTTTTTCTGTTGATGATAATTCTTTTGCTGATACAAATTCTTTCAATGTCAATGATGGTAAAATTGATTCATTTTTTAACACTTTTTTCTATGCACACATATTTTAAGGTGGTTCTTTGATGCAGCAACATTCAGTTCAACATGAGTCGATGATTTTCTCAAGACCAACAAATAGTTCAAGTGCGTAAATGAAAATTTTTATTTTTTTGCGAATTGATGAAAACAAAAAGCGATATAAGAATTTGAAGATACATAAAATTTTATAAAACTGTTCATTCATGTATACATCACTTTTAAGTGTTGTTTGTATTTGTTCAGATATTCAATTAGATGAATATGTTCAAGATTCACAAGATGAGAATGATTTCGTCGCAACATTACCATCATCACATCAATTCAATCTTCGTTCTGTTGATCTTGCGAAATTACAATTAATTAAAACTGAAAAAAATTATAAAAAAAAACAACGTCTTTTTGAAAAAATGGGATTAACTGATAAACCTACGAATAAATCAACTGAAAAAAAGATATTTATTTCAAAACAAGTTAATAAATTTACAAATATAGCTGCTGATGTTATTTCAAATGAAAGTAAGACATTTTCTTTCAAATATATTTTACTACTTTTATTTATTCTTCATCTGTATTACACTTAACTTGAAATTTAAAACAATTTGATATTATGCGTGTTTATCATAACATATTTATTAAACTTTATTTTTTAGATCCTTCAACACATATCGAGAATACAATTGAAAAAAAATCAAATGTTGATGTTACATATTTTTATATATTACTTCCGTACTTAAAGCAGCTGAACAAATTTTGTGGTTTGTGTATAAGGAATTGTACATTTGGTGCTACAAATGGTGTTCATCGCATGTTGCTCCGCTGCAAATTACGATGTAGTGCTCAACCAATATGTCCTTTCGCATGCTTTATTATCTTGCAGAATAATGGTAAAGGAGACATAATCGTTACGAATACGACTGTTAGACACAAAAAAGGTGTAAAAGTATGTCGTCCTACACGAACACCACTAAGAAATTTAATAAAACAGCAATTCGCACATGGTGCGTCTACATATCGAATGTATCATGAAAAACTACAACAACGTACACCAGAACAAAGAATAGGTCAAAATTACGATGGTGTAGGGAAAAGTGTTCAGGTATTAAGAAAGATTAAGTCAGAACGAGTTATGGAATCTTTATTATCCGAAGATGTCGATCAAAGCCTGTACAAACTGCTGGAAAAGTTTCGAATTGATTATAATCCAGATGGTAAAATTAAAGGCAGTATACAATTCATATCTAAATATCCTGCTCAAGTGATTGTATACTCAGAATCCTCAATACGATTGTTTGATTTACTTATGAGACAGAAGAATGTCGTTTTATCCTGGGATGCCACAGGAGGCATCATCAGACAAAAAAAAAATAATCGATTGTTATATTATGAATTAAGTGCTACAGTTCCTGGTGTTATTAATCAAGACAGTATTATCCCATTAACTTTTATGATTAGCGATGCGCATGCACTTGTCAATGTTATTCATTGGTTACAACTATTCAAGTACAGCTACTCACAGGTAAATGAATTATTTCCTTATAGTATAAAAAGAACCTGAAAGAAAAAAAAAACTTTTCTATAATTGAAATCCATTAATTTTTTTTAATTTTCTGATAAATGATTTCTATATATTGTTATTCTCAGATAATTAAAAGTTCATACTTTCAATAACATTGATTTTGAATAGGTTTTCGTCGGTAAAAAGTTTCCTCAACCTCGCATCATACTAAGTGATAGAGCACAAGTGTTCCTGGTTGCTTCTCTCAAGATCTGGAACAACGAAAGCATGACTGACTTTTTGCAAAGAGCATATCGAATAGTTACTGGTGATGCAACTGATTCAGATATTAACAAGACAAATATTCATGCTTGCTTGTCACACGTGCTTTTAGTAATACTTTAATGTTCGATATTTGACCTCATTAACTTTTCTTTTATAGGACTGTAGAAAAATAATAAATAAATATATTCCAGAAACATTTCGAAGTCTAGCTATGTGGTGTATTGCTTTGCTTATTCATGCTTCAACATGGAACGAATTCCTTCACAATTGGAAATTAATCTGTAAAGTTTTCATAGAATTGCATTTGGGTCAGGATTTTATTAACAAAGAACATCAAGAAGCACTTATTGATAAGATCAGTAAAATTAAAAATGATACTAATACAAGAAATATTATCAAATCAACTGATGAAGTATCAGAAAAAAATACAGAAAATTTATACTTTTCCAGCATCTATGATTTTGATGAAACAGATGATGAAGCAGAAGTTCAACTAGGTTCAAATGTCTCAAAATCAAATCGAAAAAAAAAGGTTCGAAAATATAAATATTAACATTTAGTGAATACACCATAGTTCTTTAACTAATCGTGCATCATTTTCGTAAAAATATGATATCGTTTTCTGGTATATCTCAATGCAATAATTCCTAATTTACGTACTCAGATCATGTATACATGTTCGTATGTATATCAGTTGATCCGTTTGGATTGTTAATGAGCTTTTTAATTATTTTTCTTAATTTCTATGAAACTAAAATGATACATCAAGCATTTTATACTTCAATTGTAAATGGTTAAAATTCCCTCTAAACATCAAAACATTTTTTTTTATTTCTGATAAAATATCTATTTATTTTTTAATATAGATGGTAATAGATGAAGAACAACAGGTCAATTCTATGGACTCTCCATTTAAATCAACAATAACTAAATTATTTCATGATGTTTTAAGCCTGTATAGTATTTCAATGAAACAAGTTAATGATAAATCATCACGTGGCATTTTGAGGTGGTTCAAGTATCTCATAAATTCATTCATGCCAACAACACCAATTTGGTGTAATCTATTATTAGGTAAATTTTTCTTGTATATAGATTTGAATAGCAATGATATTCTCATTTCATTCGAAGGTAATTTAACTCGTCATACTAGACAAATTATTAATTTATTTGAAAGTATCTCAATCATCAATGAAGAGCAATTAACAACTGCTATAAGCGAACGCCGAATGTGTATTGTAAAACGGATTCAATTAGGTAAAAAGATCCTTTTATTTGATTGGTAATAAAACCTATTTTTAAGCATAGCTTAGATTCGATTTTCAAACGATTAAAAAGAATTCTTTAAGATTTTCTTCTCAATGGTAATGAATAGTAATTTGTAGAGTGGGAGGATACTTATCGATATTAACAAAACTCAATCTTATAGATCAATATCCAAGAATAGTGGCTATAACATAGTACGAATTTTTTTACTATAACATACAATAAACACCCAATATAGCTTGTAAATTTCTAAAACGAATTATATTTGTTTAGCATATGTGAAAAATTTATTTTTTGTTTGCCCCCCCCCCCTCCCCATCTCTGAAAATAGTTTTTCTTTTTACGATGTCTGATCTATTTCATGTGATATATTGATTAGTTGTCATCTTTTAGGTGGTGAGGTTCACATAAGACTCGACATCTTATTATCTATATTAGTTCCGGATATGATGTTGATGATTGATGAGTATTGGAGTGCATTATTAGGTTATAGTACAAGTAATGATAAAACAATATGTATAGATCAACAAAGACTCAAGCCTATTCAAGAACGATGGCGAGAGAAAGTTTCAAGAAGAGGAGCAGGATTTTATAATAAACGTCCTAGTGAACCAATTGTCAATGATCTTATTTCATGTTTATTGTCACCAAAAGTAAATATAAATGAAAATTTGAAATTGCCTATTCTTAGTCCAGTCTGGTTGGATGTTGCCGTTGGAATTCTATTGTCTGTAGGAAATAATAATCCTGATCATTATATATATATGTCTTCATTAAAAAGTTCTCCTTTGTTATCTAAAATTTTGAAATTCTTGGAACAATGGTATAATTCATCAAATAAAACTAATGTATCTACAAATCTCAATATTTCTTCATTAAATATTAAATTAAATGATGCATTTGAACAATCTTCGTTTATACTAGAATATATATTAATACCAGTATTGCCTTGTCAAATGATAATATGTAAAATTCATGAATGTAGTCGATGTAAATTAACAACTAAGATACATTCAATCATCACATCAATTCCTATCAATATATCAGTAACTGGTTTATCTGTTGAAAAAAATTTATTTGCTTACTTTGCTCCAACACAATCAGATTTGGTTTGTTCTAACTGTAATACAGCTACTATGCGTCGTATTGAAGTTCAACAATGGCCTCAAGTTCTCTTATTACACCTCAATGACTCGAAGCAAGTAACTCGGCCTCAACGACCACCTTCCATGCTCTCGTTGGGACAGTTTAGTTCTTGGAACGCCATTGGCTTTCCATCTTCTAGTTTATATCATCTAACATGTTTCACTAGTGTTGTAAAGTCAGGCAATTATGATACAATGGTAAGAACAACGAAGATTAAAAAAAATTGGCGCACAAGTCTTCATAACAAAACAATTGGTGAGGGAGAACAGCTGCAACGATTATATGCCCACAGTCGTGAGTATCAAGAGCATATCAAATAGACTTCTGCATTAATTATTTCCAGTTGACATGTTAAATTTTAAAAAAATACTTCTTAGACTTTTTTAGTTATTATAAATCATTCTTTTTCTTTTCCCGTAGGTACTTTGGTCTTCGAACGAATGTTTATTTCAAATAGATACAATTTAGTCCATGCTGTTATTCATGCTACAGGATTAAAATGTTCAAGTTTAGTTAATGATATTCCACAATCTATAAGTGTTCAAGATGCATTAAAATTTATTCAAACACATCCATTACTTTGTGATTTAAAAAATGCTCTTACAGCTGATGTTAAAACGAAGTATATATGTAATTTCTGCCACCAGTTTATCAATTCTTCTGACGAGCAAAGCTCAACAATTTTTTTATTTAAATCAATGTCGTCAAATGATCTTATTGCATATCCTGCTTTATGCAATATGAGTTATGAGAATGTCAAGATAAAATATTGTCAGAATTGTAATCATTCTATTGAAAATGTGGTTCTGAACATACATCAGCAGGTTTTTCTTAAGTGTCCGTATTATCTAGTGGTAAGCATTTTATTTTTTATTTTTTTGATGAAAAATATTTAACTATTTTCACAAGACCTAACACTTCAATCGTATAATAAAAATTAAAATAAATTTTTTTTTATCGTTATTTAAGAAATTTTCTGACAGAAATTGTCAAGTATTGGATTTTTTTAAAAAAAGTGTACAACTGAAAGATGTTCAAGATATCATTTATAATTATCAACCACTCTCGATGCTACTAATTAGTCGTTATAACGATAGAGCCACCATTATAAAACAAAAAGATAGTTCTTATGTTCAATTTTATGGTGATACCTATGCTGAATCATCAGATATATCAATCTCAAGAATTGCTGATCTTATCGATACATGTAATTCTATATTATTATTTTATCAACAAGTATGTATCAATTAATTTATTTTCTATCGATCCAGGTTGCTTTTTTTCTGAGCCTTCATAAAACATCAGCAACAAAAATTTCGTTTTTGAAGGTTTATAAAATATTTTCGTTTTATATATTGTAAGGAAATTTTTTCATGCCTTATGTTTTGTTGTTGTTTATTTTCTTGACCTATCCTAGTTAGAAGTTAGTTGACATTTTTCGTATTTATGGCAATATAAACTAAATTGTTTCAGTCTCGTACCACGGTAGCGTTGTCAACAAACATAACAACAACTCCATCAACAAATACGACAACAACTTCATCAACAAATGCAACTACAACTCCATCAACAAACACAACAGCAACTCTATCAACAAATATTCTCACATCATCTACTACTTACAACAATAGCACCTCAAATTCTTCACAAATGCGTATTGTTTCACAAGTACATATAAATGGTGTTCAGCGTCTTGTTATTACAGATGGTAATCGTTTTTTTTCAGTAAGTAGCTATTAGCCTAAAAATGTTATAACATATTAAAGATTTTTTCTTGTAAAATAATTTAGATAACAGCACCATCAAAAACGAACACGAACTAGAAAGCTGAACCATTCAACAAGTTGAACATAGACTCATTATATATTATTTTTTTTTTTTTTGTGACTAATATATTATTTCAAGTCTAGTGTCTATTGATAAAAATTTCTTTTCCATTGATTCTCATCGTATTTTTCTTACATTCCTTTTCATCAATGTAAGTTATTATTTTTGCGTGATTTGTATATGTAGGTATTAAATAAAAATATACTCTACTTTATAAATAAATGTTTCATTGATGCAATATTAGTATTATTCTGGTGAAAATTTTTAAAATGAGATATAAATAATCTTTGTCCACAAAAGTTCATATGTTTACAATATGTGGACGAAACAGATATAGAATATCTCATTTGAAAAAGTTCAAATTTTTCACTTTTAGCGACAACTATTGTATTTATGAATGCAATGAATATTGTTTGGTATAATACGGATGTATGGAAGCAATTTGTGCTCACGTCAATTTGTGCTCACTTCACGCGACCGCTTTGTTCATAAAAATGAAATCTACTAGTGGCATCTACAAAAAAAAAATTCGGATTTCTAAGGAAACAAAATTACTACACATTTCTTGCTAATTAAACATTTTTTATTCATATTTGATATAAATTTTGTAGAATAAATAATTTTTCTAAATTTTTAAAAACAATTTCTCATAATACAATCAAGTATAGAGAATTAGATACAGAAAATTAATTGGTTTAAAATTGAATACTTTTTCATTCTGGCCAGTGGCTATTCAAAAGAGCCAATCAACATTTAATCAATCATCAATTATTCTTATTCGCTTTTATGCTAATCATTATTTGCTAATTACCAATACAATTAAATGTGATGAAAGAAATCATAAACATTTAATATTTATTATTCTAGATCGATGTTTTTTCATTTCCGATAATCTAAGGTATATTAGAACTTGATTCATTTTTGTTTACATATTTTGTTGATTGTTATGTTTTTTTTTCAATCAGCAATGTTAAAAAAACTATGGCACCACATGACTTTGTTGAAATTCGACTTGTATGTAAAGCTGATTATCTTGACCCACAATTAAAAATAAAATTACATGAAATTAAAGATAAATTAAGAGAAATACTTCACACTGGTATATATTGAAAAAAAAAAATTTATATATTTTTTTTTTTAATTTTTATTATTCATATTTAGGTCGAAGAAAATTTGCATTAAAAAAAGTGCAGCCGTGGAATAGTGTTAAAGTTACTTTTGATATTCCGAAAGAGGCAGCCGATCGTTTACATTTACTTGCTATACAAGGAAATGTACGCCTCATCGAACTCGGAATACTTAGTGTTGAAATTGTTGGACAATCAAATGCTATTGTAGTTAATAGCAATAATAATAATAATAATAATAATAATAATAATAATGCATCAACAACAACTACTCCAACAACGAACAGTATGTTTTAAATAATTATTTTAAATAGTATAAAGTGGTTGTTTTTTTTTTCTCTTCACAGGTAAAGATTTATCTATGTCATCATCATCATCATCAACAACAACAACAACAACTAAAATTCCAATTGATTCTCTTGAATCAACTGTTCCTCCACCATCAACAAATAATTTTTCATATGATAATAATAAAACTGATGATCATAGACATAAACGTGTAAAATTAGAAAACGGTAGTGATCAACAAAATTATACGAATTTAAATAATTATATGTATAAATCTTCTTCAACTACTGTTAATCTCATGCAACCACCATCGACAATGGGACATCCTATTGGTCATTATATATCACAACAACAACAACAACAACAAAATTCACCAATTCTTCATCGACAACCACCAACATCAACGAATAATTATGGACGATTAACATATCCAAACAGTATTTCACCAACACATCCCACTTATTTAAACAGTTAAATAAAATAAACTAAAAATATTTTAATTGATTTATTTATTTAGGTGGCAAACCTCCTCCCCCTCCTTCTGCTCCTCATTCATATCAACCTTCATCAACAATGGATAATAATAATACAACATTATCAAATGGGATTGGTAATGATATGCATAATTATCATCATCATGAGTCTTGGCCAACATATGTTGATCATTCAAATAATTATAAAATTAAAGTTAATGGTGTATTATCAAATCATTATTATCCTCAACAACAACAATTAAATCTATCGGATAGTTCATCATCATCATCGAATATTTATTGTACACAACAACAAACACAATATGATATGAGAAGATGTGAAACAAATCTAACACAAATGACAACATCAACAACAAATATACAAAATTCATATGGTAGAAAATAATTTAATAGTTAATATAATAATTATTATTATGAATTTTAGATGGTTCGTCAACTGGTTTATCATCTTGAAATATTTTTTAAAATAACTATCCGGCCGTTGATAACAGTGATTGAATGAACGCATGTGTGTATATCATTCTTTATTATTGTTTATTTTCTCTAATCAGGTTGTTCTTTTTTTGTCTTCATATCCCTGAATGTGTATATTGAATGAAAACACAAAAAAAAGCCTATATGTACTTGTTGAATATAAAAACGAATTTTTTTTTTGTTCTTAAAAGCTAATCATTTAACCACTAAATGACACACACACACACACACATTTATATATATATATACAGTGTTGAATGTATACTTTTTTTCGTAGAGTTATGATTTGTTTTTCTTTGCAAAAAAAAACAAACAAAAGAAACGAGTTTATAGCCTCGATATACCATTCCACCCAACTAAATATTATGGATTCTTGAATTTTTGGTCTCGGATTTTTTTTTCCTCTTTTTTGTTTGATGACACTTACATGTGTGTGTGTGTATGTGTGTGGAGGATCTTTTTGTCTAATTTTAGTTTTTTTTTTCTAGTGGTGTATGTGCCATACGCCTATCTATGTGTATGTTCGTTCAAATTACTTCATGTTTTCTCTTTTTTTTTTCTTCCTCTTTCTTTTTTGTTACCAGAAAAAAAAAAGAATTGTATATAAATCAACGAGCGTGTACGATTCTTCGTTGTTCTACTGCTTCATTTCTTTTTCTTTTTTTTGTATTCGGATTTTTATGCTCTATATTCGATGCAAGCTGATTCATTTTTTTTGTTTCTTTTTTCTCGTGCTGTCTTTGTCTTCGTGTGTGTGCGTGTGTATTCGCTTGTCAAGACTTGATGATAATATAACAAGAACGTCAACAACAAATAAACATAGCTCGAATCAACTATTAGCTTTTATTTCTTTTTAATTTTTTTTTTTATCAATCTTTTCGTAATTGTTTTTTAAAGTATTCACCTAATTTAACTGTCCCATACATATCCCCAAAAAATCTTGTTTCAGCAGCAACATTATAATTTGTATTACAATTAACATCATAAACATAAATATTTGTTCCATCATCAACCCATTCAATTCCAGCTACTTCAATTTGTCGTTCTCGTAAAAAATTTTCTAATTGTTCAATTACTTTTTTTTCATTATCGGTAAATGAATCATTTGATCGTATATTAAATCCATGTTTTATTTCATCAGTACTTTGTTTAACTAATTTACTATCGATTGTTTTTCGACATGCATCACTTGGACATAATTGAAAACCTTGTCGTGTATCAACTTCAATTACATACATTAATTTATAACCAATAAATTCTGCACGATTAATTACTTGTCGTGGTGATTTAATATATTCTTGTAAAAGATAAATACCATCGACAGAAAATTCTTCATCATTATTATCATTTATTATATTTTCGAATTGTTTTTCAAGTTGTTTATCGTCAGTAAATAGATGTACACCAAGTCCTTTTCCTGCTCGATTATGTTTACTTATAAATGGTGTCCATATTTGTGTTGATTCATTAAAAAAATTTTCTCGTGCAGTTCTTTTTAAAGCTTCAATAAAATTTTCTTTTATTGTTGATTCTTGTTGATTAATTGATGCTGCACTTGCAACGAATGCTGTACGTGGTACACGAATATGACTTTTTGTTAATTCAACATATTGTTTAACTTTAGATAATTCAAGCGAAAGAGCTCGTTGATCATTAATAATTCGACATGAATGTAATGAAAGATAATCGAGAACTTGACCTGTAATTTCACATGAGAAACGATGATTACGAGTGTGTGAAGATGGTGAAATGCGATTAAAATAAATTGCATCATCATCAGGCACTTTATTTAATGAATAACTATGTATTTCACTTAAATTCCATTCGATAAAAGGCAATTGTAGTTTCTCAAATGCCTTTCGAAATGGAGGTAGCCATACATCATTTTCATGGATAATATAAACAGTCATTTTGATATTTTATGCGAAAATTTGAAATTATATATATATATGTATATTTGTCGAGTCACGTTGACAGAACGTGCTGTGTCAGCTTATCATAGGATTTTTTCATTCTGCTTGAAAAAATTGACTTTTCTCGTTGACTTGTTTTTCTTTTTCTTTTAGATGACAGATTTAATACAAACTAACCATGATGATGCAAATATTACTATTATATTAGATACATTATTAAATGACGTTCGATCATGTATAGAAAAATGTCGAAACTATAATAAAATACCTGGAATTGGTAAACTTGAAAGAAAATTTCGAGCCGAAGATAGATTTCTAAAACGCGTATGTATTTTATGTTTTATTCTTTATTTTAAGATAATTTTTATTCATCATATAAAACAAATAAATTATTTAATGAATAGAAATAGAAATAGAAATTTAATTAATTAAATATATAAAATCAAAATATTTGAAGAATTTCACTTTTCAGTTCTACATATATTTGCAGATAAGAATCGCTTAAATAATAACTAGTAGTTAATATACAAATATTAACCTTGATAGTTAAGATCAATCTAGTGCAATGTTCGCATATCTATATGATAAGTGTAGATTAGTAACATAACAAAAAAAGAGAACCTTAGTCCTCATAGTTAAACAGATAAATTTTCTAGATATCTTTATCTCTAAAATAAGCATAAAATTATTTGAAAAAAAAAGTCTAATTTTTAGCTTCGTACTGACACAAGTGATGTTAATGTTAATCATTTAAAAAGTTCGAATTTAACTCATTTACGAGCTGTTCTTGAACAAATTGAAGAAATTGGCCCAGAAAATGTTAATGGAGTAAGTTAAATTATAACACATATTTTAAAAAATAAAACACAATTAATTAATATAGGTTTTAGTACCATTTAAAGATAGTCGTTCTCAATTACTTATTTGTGAATTAGTTTATAATGAAGGTCGAACATGGATGAAAGTAATTGCTAGAAATGCACAAGCACTTCATCTTATTTGGAAAGTAAGATCTTTTGAATTTTTATCATAGACATGGCTTTTGTTTTTCTTTCTAATTAAATAATTAGGGTAATGGTCATTATGGACAACGAAGTATTCTTATATCAATGAGACAATATCTTGATACAGCTCGTTGTAATGAAATACATTATCAAACACCAGATATTGTTTTTTATTTTGTACAAGGTGTTACAGAACCGTTAGCTAATTTATTGAAAAAAAATGGTATCATAGTCAAAGTAATTATCCATTAAATACAGTATAATTTAAATTTACAAAAAAAAAAATCAAATTTTTTTAAGGGTTCAATCGTTGAAGTTAATGAAGATGTTGAAAAACGTTTACAAATCGTTGATGATTATAGTTCAAGTGATAGTGATGAAGAAAGTCATAGTGAAACTGATGATGATAATGATGATGAAATTATTAATAATAATCTAGAATTAATGTCATCACATGAACCAACTAAAATAAATCTTGATGTTAGTACATTGATATGTCTTGTTTCGGAATTAACTCATGGTGGTCATATTTATCGATATCCAAGTAAATGGCTTGAAGTACCAGCTGAATTAGAACGAGCTGAACATCTTGCACCGAAATTAGAGAATTATATGAAAGGTGTTGTTTTTTTCTTTTTCTTATTTTATTTTATATTCGTTTTTTTTTTGTGTCTTATAAATAGGAAAAGAATTATTTATATGTCAAACAGCGTATGAAGAATTTAATTCAATTGTTAGTACAGTTGGTGGACCTAATGAAAAAAAACGAGCAGAAGAACTATTTAAACGAGTATATGAACTTTTCATAATAAGAGATGTGTAGGATCAGTTTCAGTCTTGGTTATGGTCATCAGGCTCCAAAAATAAGAATGTATCGAATTTGAACTAACAATGAAACATAATAAACTGCTAGGCACCGATCTTCTTCATATTATAGCTACGATTAGATACCTTTAAAACTAAGATATGTTTAAAAGGATTTTGGTCTATGATCATGATATGAAGTCGAATAACGTCTGACAGTCGAATGTTAATCTGTTAGACTTGGGGTACGTGAGAAAAAGTTGTTCGAACCGAACCTGAAAATTGTAGTTAAGCTTTCTGTATTTTTTATCGAATGATGTTATTAGTTAATCAATCAAAGCGAAATTTAGAAGCCCTGACTAAAAAAAAGGAAAGAAAACTCATCCTTTGAATAAATTAAAACACAAGCATTGCCGATTACTTTTGAGTTAAATGTCAATAAACTTAAAATTCGTTTTCTCTAACGTGAAAAGTTCCCCAACTAATAGATTGGTTGTGCGTCGAGATAATTTGCATCATGAAAGTTCTCATAAACCATGAATAACATGAAAAACTGTCTCAATATTCGCTTATTATTGCTAAGATAATACATTTTCACTGAAAAACCGGAAAAAATAAAGTATTTTCTATAGCAACAAGCTGATAGCAAATCTTTTCATAATATGCAAAGCTCATAAGAACCTACACTATGTACATTATTCTAATTCAAAACGAATTTATTTACTGAAAACCATCTCTCATAATCCAAGACTGAAACTAAAAAAAATGTTGATCTCACACATCTATACTTGTAATATAGACTTTATTATTATCATTTCAATTTAGCTTACTATTGTCCCTGATTGTCTGTCAGAAAGATCGGCTGTTCTACAAGAAAGTGTTAAAATAAAACCAAGGTTTGATTAGCATCATGAAATTCTATTTAATATAGTTTTTTTGTATATTTCTTTAGAACAAAAATAATATTTGGTACCGGAGATCATTTACGTGCAGTAACGATGACAGCTAATAGAGGTTTTGTTCGAGCAGCAGCACAACAAGTAAGTTTATCGATCCCGTTCGATTAGGTACATCTCATCTTATTTCCAGGGAATTCATTTTGTTGTTTACGTTCACGATAATATACCATTGACATTCAAAAGATTTATGAAAACACATCCATCATTGTCAGATGCGGTCGAGTCATTTGAACAACAAAATTAACGGTGATGACAGAACATGAAATTCATTGTTTGAGACCGAGATGTGCTTTTTCTTTTCATCTACTCATAATTGTTTTTTATTTAGAAAAAAATAATCTTTTTTTTTAATTGTATTCTTTATTTATAGGGAGTACCCTTTGCTGTATATTTACATGAATCGCGTGCTTTAACCGAGCAACAAATACAATTTAATTCATTACCTTTATTTACACAATCACAAGAAAATGTTTGAATCTAGTGAAAAAAAAATAATGGTGCTATTGAATACTTATGAGTGATATTTTTATATTTATAACCTATCCTTTAACCTCTTCAACAATTCTTTCTTTTTCGATATTGTTGCTATTTTTATTCTTTTGTTGGCCGCACGGTTGTTTTTTTTTCTTTTTTTTGAAAATATATAAATCTAGAAACTTGAAAAACAAGAGAAAATAATTCAACACATGATCTTGTTGACACAAACAGTACGAAATGATAATTTTCTTTAATAGAGAGGTCGAGTTGAATCCCTCGACTCGTCCTCGAATAAATGTATACTAGTTGAAATGAGATAATTCAACTGTCAAGATTGTATATTTAGAACATCTAATGTGTAAATGATAATGTCCATTAAGCTTGTTATAATTTTAAAGTATGTTGATATTTGTATCAGATATATTCGCCAAAATAATTATTGATTGTGAACAGTTTACAATGAAATCAATAATGAATAATAAAATAGAACAAAGATGCACATTTTGATAATAAAAAAAAAATCTTTTTACTGGTTGACCTTATCTTATTTCTTAGATTTCTAAAAAGTAAACTGGTGAACAAAAAACAAACAATAAAGTATTTTTAACTTGTTCTCTTTAGTTTTACGCACACAGCTCAAATCTTGATTGTTTTAATGGCGAATGGAATTTTCTGTCTTATACATTCTAGAACAAGATTTCTTAGTTGAACTATGATTTCAGAGCTTCTAAAAAACTGAACACTTTAGTTTTCAAGTTGCAAAAGACTTTGCCAGAACTATGTTTTAACAAAGCCATTTTAAAGAGAACAGCATTTTGAGTAAAATGTGAGGTTGTCACATTGTCGATGAATTTCTCTTAAAAAGTTAATTATATCACAAAATCTGCGAAAAGGCAATTTTTTATAGTCGTTTCTTAAATAAATTTCGGTTTTCGTGATACTTTTAACTTTTTAAGGAAAGGTCATCCAAAATGCGACAACCTCTTATTTTGTTTAGAGTTTTGTGTGCTTTAGAATGCTATGCTTAAAAAATAGCGAAGATAAACAATTATTAAATTAATTCAAAGTTTTCTTTCACTAAAACAAAAAATTTTCGCTTATGGTTAGTTATCTCATCACCAGAACTTGCGTCGAAACGAACATGACTGAAAAGAAAGATGGCCGAGTACCTTTTGATTACCTATGTTCGTGAGTTTCATATTGAGCATCATTCCGTAAGTTCACCCTTTCTGAATATGTATCATATATATTCATGTACATATACAAGCACATTACCAAATTTTGGTGAAGAGAATACTGACTGTCTATTTCGTTTGTCAAAAAAATATAATTTAACTATCATAGTTCTATCCTTAAATGCATCAAGGACAAAAAATTATTGTATAATAACTCATATATCGAAATAACACAAACGTTTTTATGTGCCACTTTATGACTTAGCTCGCGTTATACTAACAAGAAAAAGCGTGACTAGATTAAGTAACAAACGATGTAACACGTATCATTTATTTATGATTGATCTTAGTTTGTTTTTTTGATCGCAACAAAACCTAGAATAAGTGAAAGGACATTCTTTATTTGTACTTTACATTGAAATAAAAATGAGAAAAGACATCATTGAAAAGTGTGAATAGAAATAAAAAAGAAAAAAAATGAAGGATCATGTATAAGAGCAAAAACAAGAACTCAACGAAATGTGAATTTCACATTTTTGTGCTGAAATCATTAGTGATCATATGAAATAGAAACTAAATAGTGCGAAAGTGATGAACAACTTTGATTTTTCACGTAAAGCTTCATGTATTACCTTATCCAATCTAGAAGAAGATGTTATTAGAGCAGAAATTGATATTGTTAATGCAACTGCTAATGTTGCTGTATCATTAAGTGCATGGCGTGCAAAATTTTGTAAACTTTGGCATAACTATCATTGGCGTATGAGACATTATTTTTATTTACATCTATTTGTTTTCTTTTGTAATACACTTATATGCGGTGTTATTGTATGGGGTATTGAACAATATAAAATTCCTTATATTGATTGTTGGTTTCTTAGTGCAACATGTGTATTTACATGTGGATTACAAACATACGATTTTGCATTACTTAGTCGATCATCTCAAAGTATTTTACTTTTTTATACATGGATATCTGGTAAATTATATTTAAAAAGACAATTTTTAGTATACAGAATATACAATAAATGTCTTTACGCTAAAAAGAAAAACTAATATCTTCATATTGGTCCAATGAATTGAACTGATTTTTTCGTCATTGATAAAGAAGGCCTGAAAATTGTTTTTCATAAGAAAACTGGCAATAAATAATTTTTTGACCTATCATTTTTCAATAATATACAAAAAATATGAGTACACCAGTTTTAGTAAAAACCGTCCTTGTTCAAGTGAAATCATCAGACTTGGCTGAATTGAATACATTTTAGAGAGGAAAGAGTTTTACGACTATTAGTAAAAGCCATTTTAGAATATTTTGAACCATCGATTTTTGATGAAATTTTTCTACAACCTTAAACTAGTAGTCCTTGCTAGTTTTATTTACAATACAGATTTCACACATCCATCTCTTGCTGATCTTGAGATCTGAAGTATCAAAATTGCCTAAAATCGCGATTTAAGTGAGACTGTTGGAATATCCAGGACTCGATCACGCAATCTGAAAGTTAAAACATATTCACATCCATAAAATATTTGAGATTGATTAGCCACGGTGTTCTTGAGATCTATGGAATCCCTAATATATTCATCTTCTGCATAAACTGTAAATTTTGGGGCTTTTAGAAAAACATCTATGAAAAATCGACGGTTCAAGGTTTTTTAAGACGGTCTTTACCAATATTCGTTCAACTCTTCCCTTAATAAAATATAATCAGGTCTGTTTATAATCTGATGATTTGAATTGATCAGGAACGATTTTTACTACACTAATATACTCACATTTTCGTATTTTATTGAAAAATACTAGCTTAAAAAAACGAAATCATTCAGGAAAAAATGAGTCTAACTCATTGATCGAGTTTGAAGACATTAATCATTTTTTATCGTAAAGATATATATGGTACACCCTGTATATGGATAAAATATATATTTAGGTATAACTGTTAGTACAATTCCAGCTATATTTATAAAACTTTATCGAGTTAAAAACGAAATTATACGTTCGGAAGAGTCAGAAACAAGAACAAGTGAAAACGATGTATTACCAATACAAAGACTTGTTCCTAATCAAAGCATTGATTCAGATTTACATGAACGTATTCATTCATTACCAAGTCCACATCATCTACGTGTTACAGCTTATATTTTAATGATTGTACTCATTTTATCAACTTGTTTTGTTATTTATTTAATATCATTTATTGCTATGGGTATTTGGCTTAAATATCATTATGAATCAAAAGCTTTATTACAATCAAATGCAACTATGAATCCATTTTATGCAGCAATTGTTATTACAATAACTGCTTTCAATCAAAATGGTTTATCACCTTGGTAAGAGAAGATTTCGAAGAGAATAAAGAAAAACGCTTTTAAATAAAATTTATGTCTTTTCTTAAGGACAAGTGGTATTGGTTTATTAGTTAATGATATTTTTATGAATATTTTTATTATCATTGTTGTTATGTCTGGTACTTCATTATTTCCAGCTATAATTCGTGGTGTTGTGGTTTTATTTAAAACCATTGTACCGTAAGTTGAAAAGAAAATTTTTTCAGTATTTTTCTCAAAGTAATACAAATGATTTTAGTTGGCGTTATAAAATATTTTTTGATTATATCTTATTAAATAATCATCGTTTATCTGCTGTTATTTTTCCATCGATTCAAACACGACTTTATGTTACTATTACAATTTTATTACAAATATGTAAGTTATTACTATAATACAGAAAATTAATTTTTATTGAATTTTAGTGGGTGTTGTGGTGGCATTAATACTTGATTATCATAATTCAAATTTAGTTCAATATAAAGGAGGAACAAGATTTATGATATTTATGCTTGAAACAGCTAATACTCGTTTTGGAGGTAAATAGATTATATTTATAATAAAAAACCTGTTAGTACAATTCCTGTGAAGTTAAATTGTGAAACATGATGCAGCTACTGTTGCTAATCACAGGGAGATTGTTTTATCTGTCTACTTGTCTTCATTCTCCTTTTACTTAATTCCTCTGAAATACAATAATGGAGTAGTTCATATATTTTAACGATCTGTTCCTCTTATACGGTCTTTGATTGAATATCAATAAAGTTTGTCACAGTCTGTGATTTTATCCATAAGAAGGTCTTAATGATACTAGCAAAAGACTAAATGAGCTCGACCCCATGGATTTCTAGCGCCGAGTTATGACCAGTTTACTGGATCTTCGACATATTTTTAGGTACTGTCTGAAAATCTAAATAATAGAGTATCGATCCAAAGTTTCGCTCAATAATTTTTATGAGAGGTATGTGACAAAGGATCACTTTTGGAAATTCAATATCTTGATGAAGAAACATTCTTTCCAACTGAAACTTTCGAGATAGTCTAAAAGTCACTAAATCTGTCTATCGCTAAGATTCTACATCGAAACTTTGAGATTTGATATTTCGGCAACTACTTACAAATGAGTCCAAAAATCCAGTAAATTGGTCCAACATGAGCTCTGTAATAGTCTGTAAGGAAAGGGAAAGAATCCAAGTTTCTATTCTATGTATTTCAACATTCCTTACAAAAAGTATTTCACAAAAAAATGATTTATGAATTAATAGGTTATGCAACAACTGATCTAAGTTTACTTGCACCGGGAACATTAATCATATTTGTTTTATTAATGGGTGTTAAACCTCAAATGGTATGTATATTTTCTAGTTTTAAGCTTTATAAATACAAAGAGTATTTGTTTTTTTTAATTTTCTATTGAAGTTATGTGCTATTGATGAAACTCCATTTGAAATGGAATGGATATTAATACAAACACAACAAAAATTAGAAAATAAAGTTTCAAGTAATAATCGACGTGGAAGTATACAAATATTTTTACCATTTAATCGTGTGAAACATTATTTATCACGTCAAGGTTCATTAGCAAAAGCACAAGCATCAAATTATTTTTCTTCTATTGCACGAAGAACTCGAGCTTCTCAAGCTATTAATCAATTACATGAAAAACGTCTTCAACATCGTTTAAGTGCATTATCATTTGATACGTATAATCATTCAAGAGATGATCGAAATAGACCTCTTGGATATATATCATTTCTTCGTATGAAACTTTTATTAATTATTTTTTGCCGTCATGCTGTTGTTAGTTTATTCAGCTTATTGGTTTCTACTCGCACATGGTTGTTTTTATTTATTTTTCTTATTTGTGCATTTGATTCATATCATATGACACCTGTTGATCCATCAATAACTGTATTTCGTGTTATATTTGAAGTTATTAGTGCATTCGGTGGTTGTGGTTTATCTATGGGTCATCCAAATGTTACATCAAGTTTTGCTACATTACTTACAGTACCAAGTAAAATAATTCTTATATTAACAATGTGTATGGGTAGACATCGAGGCTTACTTGATTCAATGAAAGATCAAGAAGAAATTGAATATAGTGCACAAACATTAATTGATAGTTGGCAACAATTAGCTGTATTAGAACAAATAGAAAAGAAGAAATCATTAGCAGAACATCAATCACTACCAATTCTGTCAGCAGCTCAACCAACTTCGTCACTTATTACTAAATTTTAATAGATCTATTTGTTTGAATGAGCTACATATATTTTTTTCTTCATTGAGCTTTTAAAGAAATGAAACAGTTGAAATAAAAATCATCAATCATGCTATACTAAAATAAAATCTAATGTTGTTTTTTCAATATTGTTTTTTCATTATGAACACATACGCAATTATTTATTTGTTGGATAAAATCAAAGGTCCACTTGAAAAACCATTATCATTTATTCGTATAATCAAAATAATTGATGAACTATCTACAATTTGCTCTTGCCTTGCTCTCAAGTCACTAATTTATCTTCATGAATATTCTGCATGCATTTTTGCATCATGTAAATGATCTGAAGAAGTTTGTCTACTTAGACATTCTAGTGATTCCTTATGTTGGATTATTACACATTTATGCTTTTAATTATTATTCATCTGGAAAATATTCTATTTATATTCTAATTGAAAAATGATGACTTAAAAATATGCTTATTCGCTCTATCAGATCATCTTGCCAAAGTTTGATTATTCTGTTCACGATTGGTTGACTCTGCATCATACTATTGTTTATGATGAAAATACATGACATAATGATGGCAAAATAATTGAAGAAGACGATGGAATAACATTAAGCATAAACTATGATAATCGATAAATATATTTAGAATACCATTGATTAATAAGGCTTGTTCATTTATCCATAAGACTTGATGTATCTCAGTTGACATGAAAGATATTTATTAGATTATTAGATATGAATGATTCTGTTTGTATCCTTCGCTAGTAAATCATGACAAAGATTCAGATTTTTAGCGGTATCAATAAAGTTTTGAATAGCTTCATTTCGCTTTTCCTCCTTTGCCCAACCTCCTTCCCATTCCCTAAGCAGTTCAACAACAAAAGCTTGTCTTGCTCGAACATACTTTTTATCAAAGGCATGCATTTATAATACTTCAGTACTCACTCATCATAGTACATAACACGCACTTCTCATTAGTGTATACACATTTCTATTGGAAAAAAAGATTTATTCAAAATATTGAAGCAACAATCCAAATTTTTTTTAATGATTACCTTGTGTCCACTGATCCATGTGTTCAAGTCTTGATAGTAGTGTAAAAAATTGCCTGATATTTTAACAATTATTTATTCTCATTCTCAAGATTTTAAATACATGTATTTTGGATTGGGTAGCTTTACTTTTTCATACACAGAAGGCAATAAGTTCCTGTTGTTTGTCTAAATTATTTTTAGAGAAAGCAATTGCTAAATCTTGTACTGCTGGTACACTGCTCACAGAAATCCATCAATATAAATAATATAATCTAAACAGTGATTCATCAGTGAAACTAATGAGAATAAAATATAATCAAAAAACTTCTTTGACTAGATTAGTTTTCAATTTATATTGATATTTGTACAAAATAATACGTTACATTCTGTATCATCGTTCTCAGCTACGATCGATTACTTTCAAATCATTGAAAGTCTCTATAGTCTAATTTGTGTTCGTTTTGCCTATTAGAAAATCTATGAATTCGACGGTACAATGGAACTATGTTCTAGATGATTGCAGAAGCTCATGATGGATATAGAAGCAAGTTCACTTGTTTCTCATCGACATTTTTTGAGAGTTTTTTCTCTTAACAAAAATGAGAAACAATGATTAACTTTGATAAATATTCTTTTAATCTGAGATAAAGTCGAATAGATATATAGCAACAATGTAATCGATGGACTGAATAGCACTCAAATTACCAGATGGTAAACACGTAGATTGTTTGATTTAACAATAAATGTTTTCACACCTTACTTGCAATCTACTATTACTAGTCAATCACCTATTAAACAAAAGCCAAAATTTAACAAGAAAACATTTACTTCCGAACATAACTCACAATGATTTTGTATAGACATCTACAAAAAACTTTATGAGAACTGAATCTACATCTAATTCTCTGTTCTTAGCTGATGTTCAAGTCGGAATATAACAAGCAATCGACATTGAATCTAAATTAAATACAATCTAATAATACAATGATGGCTCTTCAAAAAACCAAGACATAGTCTTATTGATGACATCACTTTTGATAGTGAAACTGTTATAAATGAAAATTTTGCTTTCTCTTACATAAGTTCAGCAAATTTGCGTTATTTCACATCGTTGATGACTTTTGGAAACCTCATTTATGTCAACAGAGAGAACCTCATTCAATTTGAAGTTCCATATGCAAAATACATTAAAACAAAAGTAGAGAAATTCAGTATAATTTAGTTTTACATATATAACTGAAATTCTTGACCTTTTTTTGAGTATGGTCATCATTAGCGAAGAAAATATCATCTGTGACCTTGACTTGATTTTATTCATAACAAAAGAAACCTGATGAAAAAAGAACTAAAATAACAAAAGCTGTGCTATTGTACACAACAATTAAATAAATCCATATAAACATAACCATCATATACAATAACTGATCATTTAAACTTACTCAGGAATAAATGAATATCTTCAGTTTAATAAAATCTATACATGTCAAGTATTTAATTCTGCAAGAACATGATCAATAAGTAAGTAAACTTAAATGATAACAATAGTATATCAAAAAGACAAAGAAATGTCGCTTAATTTAACTTTTCGTTGCTTCTAGTTCTTTTTCATCAGTTATTGTTTGTTATGAATCAAATGAACTCATGGTCACAGATGATGTCTTTTTTTGACTGATGATGACTGCACTCATAAAGGGTGAAACTCTTAGTTATACATGTAAAATTAAATTACACTACATTTCTTTACTTTTTAAATATACTATTGTTAGTATTCAAGTTAACTTACTTACAAAACACATGTTTTACAAAGTAAATATGAGAAACTCTTATCAGTTCTCTTCATTATAATAAAATTTATACATTATTTGTATTTTCACTATTTCTTTGTAAATATAAGTTTGTTCTTATAATAAAAATTTCAAAATAATTTTACAAATATTGATATACTGAAGTATAATATTGACATATCCTATGAAAAGAAGTCACTCATAAACTCTTTAATAATATAGAAAAACCAAAGCTAAGTTGATGCCATTCAAAACTAAATCAATATCGTCAAATAAATTTTCTTCTATGAATTTTGTGAAGCTACTATCTTCAAACTTATGTACAAAATCCGAATAACATTTGCCGTGTAAATGTATTAAAGAAAATAGCACAGGATGAAATGTCAAAAATATTTTAAACAAAACAAAACATAACATTTTGTCTTTGTTTGGTATTTATACTGAAATGTACATATAATAAATTGATAAGCTTTCATTTTATGATCAATAATTGCAATTAGATTATGATTAAATGGAAAAATGTTATATAATATCGATTTCATAGTGTTGTTTAGTGAAGCAAAGTGTATTTTAAACCTGAAGCAATACTATAATCATAAGTACTTGAATTCAAGTGATTAAACAAGTATATTGTTCTTTTTCTTTTTTTTATAAAAGAATGTTTACTAACAAAGTCCTATAAAAATATTTGGTACTGCATAGTGGAATAATAGACAGGAGAGTGGATCATGATTGAAGACTCGGTATTTTGTGTATTCAATATGTAGTGCTTAATACAGCTGTATGAAAAAATTTCGATTTAATACTATGCTACACTTTTCATTCATAAACAGATATTACCACGATTCTGAATGAGTTTATGTTCAATGCTTCGAGCGTCATTACTTGTTGATGAATACGAAAATCAGAATTTTAAATAATAATGTGCTCGTTTCTTATGAATTCGTTTTAAAATAAGAATCCATCGATATTCTCATGTATTGTATTACCAGTTCAATTTCTAAAACATACTGAATGAACCAGAACAATATCGAGAAGCTACCATCATTCGTACTACGAAAAAAACCAGTCTATTTCGAATCGAATATATGGTCAAAATCAACAAAAACTCGCTTCAATAAAAATTAAATCAAAAGAACCTCCTAGGTGTTTTTTCTCTTATATTGGAACAGATCTTCAATATGTATTGATTTAAATACAGATTATTATTAATTTAACGAAAGAATTAAATATTTGAGTCATATTTAAAAAGTGTTACGTATTACAGTTATATACCTGTAACTAAATGCACTCATTTGACCGTATTATTAATTCTAACAGTTTTGCTGTTGTCGTCTGTTTTAACATATAATGAAAAAATAAAAATAAAAAAAGTAAAAATTTAATTTTTTTCTTTTCTATGATAAACACATTGTCAACGTGATCGTTTTTTCTTTCTTTTTTTCTTTGCCTGGCGACAATGTTTCTTCTGGACGGCAAGTCATACGAGACGATTCCTTTTATAAGACATTTTATTTTTTATTTTTCAAATAATAGAACTTGACAATTAGCATCTATTTATATTTAAATGGCATCAGTTATTATAAAAAAGCCTTGTGTTCAATGTCTAAAAGGTGGAGGCGTTACTACATGTGATGGATGTCAACAAACATTTTGTATTAAACATATCATTGAACATCGACAAGAACTCGCTATACAATTGGATAATGTTGGACAAGAACATGATATTTTTCGACGTGATATAATGCAGGATAATTTAGCTCATTCCCTATTAATACGTATCGATGAATGGGAACAAGAATCAATCACTAAGATTCAAGTAACAGCTGCAGCAGCTCGTGCTGATCTACGACATTTTATTGATCAAACTAAAAGTGAACTGAAAGTGTCAACAGATAAAATCACTAATGAAATACAATCATGTAGAGAACTGGATGATTTTACCGAAACTGATTTATCAAGATGGGTACAAGAGGTAAAAGAACTTCGTAAATTATTGGAAACAAATATGACTATGAAAATCGTCGAGGATGAAAATACATCAAATTCTATACATATGATTAAAGTACATGAACAACAATTGTCATGTGCATCTTCTGTTTCCAATGAAACAGCTGCTGGAAATAATATTGTTTGCCAAGATATGTTTACATTTATTCATGAAAAATTTTGTAATTTTCTTGGAAAAATAGTTCTAACCGAAGATGGTCTTTTAGCAACATGCTCAGGTACCTATTGGGATGGTTCTACTGTGTATGGTACTCGTCTTTATGTATCTGGAACACATGTAATTCATTTTCGAATCGAAAGTAAAGGAAGTAATAATCTTTTTTTTGGTATCAAGTCAGACGCTCATGATATGCCTGTACAAACTTTAAATTCACCATATGTTTACGGTTGGTGGGAATTTGATCAAGCTATTGAAAGTGTTCATGGAAATCGAATTCATAATGATAGAATTATTCGAACAGGTGATGAAGTAACAATGATATTAGATTGTGATAATAGACAAATTCATTTTGAACATCATAGAATCAATATGATGATTCAATTACCTATTGAACTTCAAAAATGTCCATTTCCATGGAGAATACTTATTACATTACGATCAATTGGTGATAGTATTCGAATTCTTATATAAATATATGAATTAATTGTATAGAAAACCATCTCATTCACTATTTAATTTCATTATTTTTACATAAGCGTCATTTCATTAATTGCAATGATGCAAAAACAATATACATTATCCTTTGATTAAACTCTGATTTCAGAACTAACTGTAAATTCGATATATGAATTCAAAAAAAGTCTTTAGAGCAATATTATATGTTTATAAAATAATATAATAAAAAAAACAAACAAATTATCAAAAAAATTGCATCAATCAATTATTGCATACAATACACATTACATTATGAAAAAGTTTTTGAAAATCTGAACACCTTGTTTTTATAAAAATAAAAATTACTTGGATATGACTGAATTACTGAAAAAAAAATTCACACACAAAAATAATTATTGCAATATTTCAATATAATTAACCAAAAATAAATCTCAATTTGAAGTTATTTTTACCATTATTCATTATAAATCTAAACTAAAATAAAGTTGAATAATTAGATATTCAGTTATAAAAATAGAGTAGTCGAACTACTAGTGAAAAGAATTATTAACAATACAATTAGGATCGTTTTAGCAGTTGCAAATTGAGGATAGTTTCATTTTTTTTTACTCACTTCCTTCGTCAGTTGATGCTGCCGATGGACTTGTCTTTTCATTTAATTGTTGATTAGTTTCATCTTTATCAACAGCCCATTCATCTTCAGCTTCATCATCCTTCTTTGATGACGAAGATGAAGTTTTGCGTTGACGTAATAACGACGTCACATTAACACCACCAACAAATTTATCTGTTTTTTCATTGTTCTCTTCATTTATTGTTGATGTCACAGTTTCAATTTTATTATCATCATTTTCATCCTGATTTGGAGGCGGTACTTCAGATTCTGTTGGTGTCTTTGGTCGAGTTGGTGATGGTTCTCGAATAGTTTCTTTCGTTGTTAAAACTGTTTCTTGTTGTTTTAGTTTTTCTTGATCATCGTTATTCGATTGTTGTTTCTGTTGCTGTTGTTGTTTATCAGTAGCAGCTCGAGTTTGTCTTACCTCAGCAATATGTTTTGCAGTTTCTGATTCTTTTTCTTTTCTCATATTTTCAAATCTATATGATACATAAATATATGATTTGATAAACTAGTTTCTCAGTTTTACTTTGCACGTATATTACCAACATCTGCTTTACTACTTGTAACTGTTGTAGATTTTTCGACAACTTTTGGTTCTGAAAAAATAGACGAAGATACATGATGATGTGATGAAGACATTAATAAATATACCAGCAGGTGGTTGTGGAGAAGACGGAACAACACGAGGGCTAGAGGGTTTTTCTTTTTGAACGCCATATTTACCACCAAAGCCTGCGGTGTAGTCTGAAAAAAAATTATTTTTTTTTTAAAGTAAGACAAAGAATAATCAATTAAAATACTAACCTGTTTGGGAGGAATGTTTTGTTCGTGTTTCTTGATGAGA